ACATTAAAAAAAAAGATACAAAAAAGCCAAAAAAGTGACAATAAAAAGTATCAAAACGACCAAAAAAAGACAACAAAAAAACGAGACAGAAAAAAGATTACTGAAAAACAAGGCAACAAGAAAGAGACAAAAAAAGGCCAATGAGAAGGGCACAGAAAAAAGGAAGCAAAACAAAAAAAGTTTTCACTAACAAAAGACAATTCAAAAATAAGTTTTAAAAAGGCGACAAAAAATGACGGAAAAAAGTAACAAAAAGAGTTAGAGAAAAGCAAAAAACGGAATTAAAAAAGCGGCAAAAAGGGATAAAAAACTGTTAACAAAAGGTCGGAAAATACAACAAAGAAATTCCCTAAAAAAAAAAATGAGGAGAAAAGGCGTTAAAAACCGGTGACAAAAAAGAGATACAAAAAAAAAACGGGAAGAAACTACAAGAAAAAAAAGTAACATTGAGAAAGACGATGAAAAGACGAGGGCAAAAAGGGACCAAAAAAAGACTAAAAAAACGGGATAGGGAAAAGAGTACTAAAAAAAGGGCAACAAGAACAGACGACAAAAAAGCCAATAAGAAGGGCGCAGAGAAAAGGGACCAAATCAAAAGACAAAAAAAGAGTTGTCCACAAAGATAGTTAAAAAATAAATTTAAAAAAGGCGACAAAAATGACGGAAAAAGAAACAAACAGAGGCAGAGAAGGGCCAAAAACGGAATTTAAAAAGCGGCAAAAAGGGATGAAAACTGTTAACAAAAGGTCGGAAACTACAACAAAGAAATTCCCTAAAAAAAATGAGAAGAAAAGGAGTTAAAAACCGGTGACAAAAAGAGATACAAAAAAAAGGGGAAGAAACTACAAGAAAAAAAGTAACATTGAGAAAGACGATGAAAAGACGAGAGCAAAAAGGGACCAAAAAACGGATAGGGAAAAGAGTACTAAAAAAAGGGCAACAAGAGCAGACGACAAAAAAGCCAATAAGGGCGCAGAGAAAAGGGACCAAATCAAAAGACAAAAAAAAAATTGTCCACAAAGACAGTTAAAAAATAAATTTAAAAAAGGCGACAAAAATGACGGAAAAAGAAACAAACAGAGGCAAAGAAGGGCCAAAAACGGAATTAAAAAAGCGACAAAAAGGGATAAAAACTGTTAACAAAAGGTCGGAAAATACAACAAAGAAATTCCCTAAAAAAAATGAGAAAAGGCGTTAAAAACCGGTAACAAAAAAGAGATAAAAAAAAAACGGGAAGAAACTACGAGAAAAAAAAGTAACATTGAGAAAGACGATGAAAAGACGAGGGCAAAAAGGGACCACAAAAAAGACCAAAAAAATGGGATAGGAAAGAGTACTAAAAAAGGGCAACAAAAACAGACGACAAAAAAGCCAATAAGAAAGGCGCAGAGAAAAGGGACCAAATCAAAAGACAAAAAAAAGAATTGTCCACAAAGACAGTTAAAAAATAAATTTAAAAAAGGGCACAAAAAATGACGAAAAAAAGAAACAAACAGAGACAGAGAAGGGCAAAAAACGGAATTAAAAAATCGGCAAAAAGGGATAAAAACTGTTAACAAAAGGTCGGAAAATACAACAAAGAAATTCTCTAAAAAAAAAAAATGAGAAGAAAAGGCGTTAAAAACCGGTGACAACAAAGAGATAAAAAAAAACGGGAAGGAAAAACAAGAAAAAAAGTAACATTGAAAAAGACAATGGCAAAAAGGTACCAAAAAAGACCAAAAAAAAAAAAACTCGATAGGGAAAAGAGTACTAAAAAAAGGACAACAAGAACAGACGACAAAAAAGCCAATAAGAAGGGCGTAGAGAAAAGGGACCAAATCAAAAGACAAAAAAAAAAGAATTGTCCACAAAGACAGTTAAAAAATAAATTTAAAAAAGACGACAAAAAATTACGGAAAAAAGAAACAAACAGAGGCAGACAGGGGCAAAAAACGGAATTAAAAAAGCGGCAAAAAGGGATAAAAACTGTTTACAAAAGGTCGGAAAATACAACAAAGAAATTCCCTAAAAAAATGAGAAAAGGCGTCAAAAACCGGTGACAAAAAAGAGATACAAAAAAAAAACGAGGAGGAACTACAAGAAAAAAAATTAACATTGAGAAAGTCGATGAAAAGACGAGGGCAAAAAGGGACCAAAAAAAGATCAAAAAAACGGGATAGGGAAAAGAGTACTAAAAAAAGGGCAACAAGAACAGACGACAAAAAAGCTAATAAGAAGGGCGCAGAGAAAAGGGACCAAATCAAAAGACAAAAAAAAAAGAATTGTCCACAAAGACAGTTAAAAAATAAATTTAAAAAAGGCGACAAAAAATGACGGAAAAAAGAAACAAACAGAGGCAGAGAAGGGCAAAAAACGGAATTAAAAAAGCGGCAAAAAGGGATAAAAACTATTAACAAATGATTGGAAAATTCAATAAAGAAATTTCCTAAAAAAAATGAGGAGAAAAGGCGTTAAAAACCGGTGCCAAAAAGAGATACAAAAAAAAAAACGGGAAGAAACTACAAGAAAAAAAGTAACATTGAGAAAGACGATGAAAAGACGAGGGCAAAAAGGGACCAAAAAAAGACTAAAAAAAAAACGGGATAGGGAAAAGAGTACTAAAAAAAGGCAACAAGAACAGACGATAAAAAAGCCAATAAGAAGGGCGCAGAGAAAAGGGACCAAATCAAGACAAAAAAAAAGAGAATTGTCCACAAACATAATTAAAAAGTAAGTTTAAAAAAGGCGACAAAAAATGACGGAAAAAAGAAACAGAGGGGCAAAAAATGGTATAAAAAGGGACAAAAAAATCAAAAAAGCATTAAAAAAAAGCGATGAAAAAGGGCAAAAAAAACACCCTAAAAACAAGACGACTACAAAAACGGCAAACAAGGACAATATAAAAGAGACAAAAAAAACTCCAAAAAGGCAACAAAAAGGGACCAAAACAATAGGACAAACGAAAGACGACAAAAAATGGCGGAAAAAGGCGATAAAAAAAGAACAAAAAAGAAATAGAGGTTAAAAAGGCAACAAAAAAGGCGACAAGGAAAAACACCTCAAAGGTGGGCAAAAAGGAAGGAAACAACAAACGGCACACAAAAAACAGGCGATGGAAAAAGGGAACCAAAAAGGCGAAGAGAACGATAAGAAAACGACACAAAATACGACAAAATTATGGAAAAAGGGCGTCAGGCAAAAATGGTGCAAAAAAAGCAGAAAAAGGCGATTAAAAAATGAAGGCTACAAAAGACAGTAAAAGGGCGATAAAAAAAAGGATCAAAAAAGACGAAAAAAAAACAGATAAAAGAAAACGGGACAAAAAATCTACAAGAAAGGGCAACAAAAAAAGCGTCGAAAAAAGAGGGACGGGTTATAAAAAACGCTAAAACAACTGCGATAAAAAAGGCCACAAAAATAGTGGAAAAGGGGGTCAGTTAAAAATGGTTCCAAAAAAGGCTTTAATAAAAGAATGAAGGCTACAAAAGACAGTAAAAAAAAAACAAAAAAGGAGACAAGAAAAGATGACACAAAAGTCACAAAAAATGCGATTAAAAAGAGCAACGACAAAAAAACAAAATACACCAAAAAAAACAAAGGCGACAAACAACTACTCCAAAAGGGCAATGAAAAGGATACCAAAAAACGTGTCAAAAAAGAATCAGAAAAAAGCGGAGACAAAAATGTAAAAAAAAAAGGTAGAAAAAAGAAAAAATAAAATGACTAGACAAAATATTGTGCTTTTAAAATAGGCGAAAAAAATGTGGCAAAAAAAAGGCGTCCGAAGGAAAATGGTCGAAAATGCCAATAGAAAAGCGGGACAAAAACATTAACACAAGGGACAACAAAAAAAGGGAAAAAAGGTGATTAAAAAGGGATTAAAAAAGAGGCCTAAAACAGGCCGCAAAAATAATTGGACAAAAAAGGACGAAAAACATGCCAAAACAAAAAGGGACCACAAAGATAACAAAAAAGCTAACTAGAAATGGAACAAACGTCTCCGACTTTTTATATATAATAAACTTACTTACTTACAAAAAAAATACAAAAGAAAAAGAGAAAACCAGGGTGGTAAAAACGGATCAAAAAACACAAAAAAATGATGGGAAAAGGCAAAAACAAAAAAAACTAGGAAAATGTCAAAAAAGCGCTATAAAAAAAGACCAAAAAATGGTAAAAAAAAGACAAGAGGGCAAGACAAAACGCGACAAAAACAAGGCAATTAAGATCGGAACAAAACACTACAATAAAAAGGGACCAAAAACCAGGACCAAAATAAACACCAAAAAATGACGGGAAAAGGCAACAAACAAAAAAACGAAAAAAAAAGTGCCAAAAAACCGCGATAAGAAGAGATATGGCAAAAAAAAGGTAAGAAAAGGACAAAACAATGCAATTAAGATCTTGGGCCACAAAATGAAAATAGGGACAAAAAGGGACCAAAAAAAGCGCAATAAACAAGCCGATGAAAATCTAAAAAAGGATAAAAATGCGCCAAAAAAAAAAGCAACAAAAAGAAACAAAAAACCGCGAGACGAAAAAGGGTGCTAAAAAGGATACAAAAAAGCATTTTTAATCGAGAAATAAAAGTTTTCAATTCGCCAGCAATACATCATTGGAGATGATGTAGTAATTTTTAAATCGACAAAAACAGCCCCCCCCCCCCCCACATGCATCGCCAATTTCCTCCCCAAATCGCCTCTTCCCGCACCATAAACAATAAACCGCTTCAAACCGATCATCGATTATTCCCGTCACAAAGCGCGAAGACAACAACAACAACAATAACCGATTGAGGTCGCCACGGTCGATAATGGCGTCCTTTTGAAAACGGCTCGTCGGGAATGCCGCGATGGGCTCCACGGAATCGCGCAACTTCAATTTACGATTACTCCTCGAACAAGTCCGGCTCCATTAATCAATCCCGGCTTTGTTCGCCCGGCATTCATCTGGCGCTGGGTATGCGGAAGGTGGGCATGGGTCTGGTCTGTAAACTAGATGTACCATCGACGGCTTACCTTAGTCAAGAGAAAGACTGCTGGGTTAGCCGGCCGTTACGCGCAGCCAGCACAGGGCCGGCATGGAGAAGGCTGAAGTCATCCTGAAACAAAGAGAGAGAGATGAATGACGGGTTTTCGGCGGTTCATGGCGTAATTGGGTACTTAGCGCCGGTGATTGAAACCTACTTATTCGAATAGGTGATTTATCGCGGAATTACTTAGATATCGGAAAAATCGGCACGGTTTGCAAATGAGCGGATAAGAAAACAATCGGTCCATTTAACGCTTCGTATAATGGTGGTTATAGCTGAGGCGATAATTGCTGCTATTTTTAAAGCAATCACGCGCTAATCAATTTCATAAGCACATTACGGTCGCTAGTGCGTTGAAAACCGTTTTCTTTACTCAAGATAAGGACGATTGCGATTAACTATCACGCTAGCTGTATTAACAATTAACTATCACGGGCGCGATAATTTTGATAGTTAAGCGTCAGCGGCTAGTGGCTCGATTGTGACCATTAGCATTCGCGCAAAAACCTCAAACAATACAATGTCAATGTTGCAATCGCTTTCTCGGCGGCAACGAGGTCAGCAAATGTAAACAATTAAATGGTAATAAAGCGCCGCGATGAATTCGCACAATCTCGATTTTCTCCGATCGGAAAGATCTCGCCCCTCGAATAACCGGGAAAGACAAACAGCTGCAGGTGCACTAAAATAATCGGTTTTAAAGTGGCAGGTCTGCCAACCTGCGCGATTTTTATTCGGCCCGTATCTGGGTCAGCGATTTAATTAACAACACTAATGAAATGTTTCCAACTGGAGGCGCAGTTTCCAGTATCGCTGGAATTACGGCCGGATTTTTCTTTTATTTCGCTTTCATAACCGATAATAACGGCGTTTTTAGTGCGCTCGTAAAATGCGTTCTGCTCGAATTCGTGTTTTTCTTGTTGCGGCGTGTGAACGGGGCTTTAGAGCATTCTTGGTTGGGCATTCTCGATGCGGTGCACGCAATTGCAATTGCATACGTGTTTCGATTCTCTACGAATGCATCGCAAGGTCGGTTCTATGAATTATTAAAAACCGTTATTTATACGTCTCTGGATGCGCGTTTGTTGCCTCGAAATCGCGAAAATTATAGCGGGTATTTGCATTGGATTTTTTCGGCACTCTACAACTCAATAATTCGCGAATAATTTCGTTTCTGTGTTTAGAATCGAGGAAGGTCAACTACTCGCCGGGGAAAGGCCTTGGGGGACTCATCGGTGCATTGCTCAGCGATATTCCAAACAAAAACGTAACTACACAATTTTAAATTTATAGTTAACCTAACTATTATTAACTATCATTCGTTCCTTGCGCTTCCTGAGCGTTTTCCGCCGAAATAAGTCAATCAAGTCCCAAAAAAACCTCATTTACCACAAAAGAAGCTAATCTAATTGTCCCAAAACGTGCTTATGTCTGTTCCAAACTCTCTCACAACGTGATTAATGCACCATAATGTTTTTGCCTCGGTTAGTAATGTAGTTCAGGGGGTTCGACTAGATGATATCGATTCTCTTACACACTACACTTGCTTGCTTTAAAGGGCTCCGAGTAATTCAATAACAGCGAAGTAACCTGACTCGTCATTGCGATATCCAAAGGAAACATCCAGATTGATCATGGGACAAGAGTGCGGCGGAATTGGCGCATGAGGGAGGCGAGGGCGAGGGGCGACTTTGATCGAGCGCCGCGTAATTGTTTTCCAGGTGAGGATACTTATTTTGGAATAAATGGGAGCTGTGGTTAGTTTTGGATAAATAGCGTCTTAAACAACTCAAAATGGTGCGAGATTTTTATAAATTACGAAATGGTGCGGAGGTTGAAATAAATAGCCGTCTAACACGAAAAACGACAATTAATTTTGAAATAAATAGCCTCTGGATAGTCACAATTGATGAAAGTAATTGGAGAATGCTGTAAATAATAATTGAAACTAAGTGTATAATCCAATGAATCATGAAAAAATTACCCCAGGTAATCGTACGTGGCTATTTATTTCAAAATAGCTAATTTTACATAAATTTATCACGAATTATGTGTGCTAAACGAATGAAACAAAGGCGAAAATAACATATTGTAGAAAACAACGATTTTGAAATAAATAGCCGCAACTAGTTTCATGTTTCATGGAACGTGTATTTTATTTAGCCGTCGGCTAAATATTTTGCAGGTGAGGATATTTAATTTTAAATACACTGGGATGTATGGTTTGCTTTTGAATAAATAGCCTCTTAAACAAGTCACAAAATATGAGATTTTTATAAGTCAAGAAATGGTGCGGAGGTTGAAATAAATAGCCTCCTAACACGAAGCGCACTTGAGCGGCTTCGTGGCAAAAGATAATTTTGAAATAAATAGCCTCAGGAACTATACAGTAGATGACTGAAAGTGATAATTGATTAAATTTATTGAAATATGCTGTTAATTAAGTGAAACAAAATATATAACGCCTATTTATTTTAACTGTGAGAATTTACCTATATAATCAATGTTTGAGCAATTTCAAGATTAAATGGTCCAAATAAAATTGACTTTAAAAAGATTACGGTCGATATAAAAATTTTGAAATAAATAGCGTCAGGTATTAGCTGACGTAGAATTATAGATAAAAAATTATTAATCATTGCTCGATTGTGGTTAAATGCGTGAAGCTATAACGATAATAAATCAGAATAGAAAACAAAGATTTTGAAATAAATAGCCTCACTTAATTGTATTTCATATGAAAATACATTTAATTCAATTTAAATAATGCGCCTTTATGTTTGGAAAATGATATCGAAAATACGAATTTTCAAATAAATAGCTCCTCATTTTAAATGATCGTGATCATGAATTAAGTACATGAGCGAAATGGTTATGTTGATTATGTTGAAATAAATAGCTTCCTACATTAATATTATGGCAATTGACCATGCAGTTTTCGTATCAAAGTGGTTCGTAATTTTGCACTTTACTCGGCTATTTGATTCGAGTTAGAACATTAATGAATAATAATCATTTTGCAAAAAATAGCCTGAGCTGATCGTAATTAATTTTAAACGGCTTTATTTACTTTCTTATTCGATAACGGAGACTCCTGAAATTTGCTGTAATTACTAATTCCAACCTTCTGAATACGAATCCGAGTTTAGAATTTCCGTGTTGAGCTTCCTGAATTTTTTTGGATTTTTATTTTTGATATCTCTAGAAAAATAACATCATAAGTTTGTCGGTATCTCGATCCTGAACGGTTGACTTATCTGGAGTAAAATGTCATTAACTATACTCAGAAAAGTTCAAGGAATCGGATGGAATAAACCGGAATTCGGATACTTGCACCGTTTTGAAGTTGTCAGCCTTTAAACTCGAAAAATATTTTTTGTAAACTATCTCACCCGATGTATGGCATTTGTGCTCCATAACTTTCTTATTCGATAACGGGGACTCCTGAAATTTGCTGTAATTACCAATTACAACCTTCTGAATACGAACCCGAGTTTAGAATTTCCGTGTTGAGCTTCCTGGATTTTTTTGATTTTTTATTTTTTGATATCTCTAGAAAAATAACATCATAATTTTGTCGGTTTCTCGATCCTAAATGATTGACTTATCAGGACTACATTGTCATTTCCTGTACTCAAAAAACTTGAAGGAATCGAGTGGAATAAACCGGAATTCGGATACTTGCACCGTTTTGAAATTGTCAGCCTTTAAACTCGAAAAATATTTTTTGTAAACTATCTCACCCGATGTATGGAATTTGTGCTACATAACTGATTTATTCCATAACGGTGACTCCTGAAATTTGCTGCAATTACTAATTCCAACCTTCTGAATACGAATCCGAGTTTAGAATTTCAGTGTTGAGCTCCCTGAATTTATTTGGTTTTTTTATTTTTGATATCTCTAGAAAAATAACATCATAAGTTTGTCGGTCTCTCGATCCTGAATGGTTGATTTATCTGGACTAAATTGTCATTTCCTGTACTCAAAAAACTCCAAGGAATCGAGTGGAATAAACCGAAATTCGGATACTTGCACCGTTTTGAAATTGTCAGCCTTTATCGAAAAATATTTTTGTAAACTATCTCACCCGATGTATGGCATTTGTGCCACATAACTTTCTTATTCGACAACGGGGACTCCAGAAATTTGCTGCAATTACTAATCACAACCTTCTGAATACGGATCCGAGTTTACAATTTCCGTGTTGAGCTTCCTGAATTTTTTTGATTATTTATTTTTTGATTTCTCTAGAAAAATAACATCATAAGTTTGTTGGTCTCTCGATCCTGAATGGTTGACTTATCTGGACTAAATTGTCATTTCCTGTACTCAAAAAACTTCAAGGAATTGGATGGAATAAATCGGAATTCGGATACTTGCACCGTTTTGAAATTGTCAGCCTTTAAACTCGAAAAATATTTTTTGTAAACTATCTCACCCGATGTATGGCATTTGTGCTACATAACTTTTTTATTCGATAACGGAGACTCCTGAAATTTGCTGCAATTACTAATCACAACCTTCTGAATACGGATCCGAGTTTACAATTTCCGTGTTGAGCTTCCTGAATTTTTTTGATTATTTATTTTTTGATTTCTCTAGAAAAATAACATCATAAGTTTGTTGGTCTCTCGATCCTGAATGGTTGACTTATCTGGACTAAATTGTCATTTCCTGTACTCAAAAAACTTCAAGGAATGGGATGGAATAAACCGGAATTCGGATACTTGCACCGTTTTGAAATTGTCAGCCTTTAAACTCGAAAAATATTTTTTGTAAACTATCTCACCCGATGTGTGGCATTTGTGCCACATAGCTTTCTTATTCGATAACGCGGACTCCTGAAATTTGCTGCAATTACTAATCACAACTTTCTGAATACGAATCCGAGTTCAGAATTTCCGTGTTGAGCTCCCTGAATTTTTTTGGCTTTTTAATTTTGATATCTCTAGAAAAATAACATCATAAGTTTGTCGGTTTCTCGATCCTGAATGATTTACTTATCTGGACTAAATTGTCATTTTCTGTACTCAAAAAACTTCAAGGAATCGAGTGGAATAAACCGG